TAGGGAAAGGTCCAAGATTCTTACTGCTCTGCTGTGCCTCAGGAAGGTGTATTCCAGTGCTTAAAAGATGACTTGTAAGCATGCAGCATTTTTAATACAGGAATTTGAAGCATTTTTTTGACTGTTACTGTCTCACTTCTTTAAATTATAGATGTTTTGACACTGCCAGGGGAGCACGGTATCATCTTTTTGGCACAGCATGGCTTGGAGCTCTACATAAGTAATGGATCTAATCTGACTCCAGGCTAATAAATTAGTAATTATAACTCTTTGTATATGCAACAATCAGTGTGTCGATACTCACCAGTGTCCTCTTTCCTCTTCGAGGACTAGATGAATGCATCACCTTTCCTACTACTGATGGTTATGTTCTCTGCAGTGCACATTAAAGACACATTTGCTCTTAATTATTTTTGAGACCGTATTTAATATTTACACTCTAGTAGCAAACAGAAGTTCCCAACAGCAACTGGGGCCTTTTGTAGGAAGCGTAGATGCAAAGGAAATCTTTGCCCAAAAATACTATTGCTGAAAGTACAGCTTCTGCAAGCTCATTGAGGCCTATAAGCAGATATTCATGTGGAACCTTCACATCGAGAATTTCATTATCCTTTTTGTGGAAAAGCTGCCCTATTCCCCCATTGTGTGGATATGCGTACGGCCCAGATTGCGGCCCTGCTAATAAATGTGTGTCTTCTAAGTAGACTCGCTCTGGGAAGCAGATGAACAGGGTTAACACACGTGCATTAATCAATAGGAGGGTCAGCAACAATTACCGCGAGGAAAGGCAAGAGAGACAACACATTAATTAGATGCATTATGCAATGCGTTGTCCTGAGAACCGAGTAAGTTGTTACGTCTCCGCATGTCCCATAAAAAGCTGCCACTGAGCAGTAACACGGAGCAGAGAACATCTGACGCGTTTTGCTATTTATACGGCTGCACATCCATCACATCTGTACTGCGAACATCTGCCAGGCCCAGAAAACCGCAGGCGCAGCCCGGGCTCAGCCTGCCCGGATTTTAAAACGTTTACGCTGATTTTTTTTTTTTTTTTTTTTTTTATATATCTCGAGACC